TAAATTTATGGGCACTCTAGTGTCCAATCATCTTTTACCTTCAAGTCACGAATGGTAAAACTCGCCGATCTAACTCTTCAGGTTCAAGAAGATTGAATAGGGGCAGCTGTTGTACCCCAAAATTTTCCCTCCCATTTTTCACAGAAATCACAACCCTAGGGTTTCTCAGATATTCAAGATTGGCTCAGGAATCGATCAGACAGATTTTCTCCTGTGGCAATAAACCAGCAATTTGGGTGTTTACATGCAGTTCTTAGAAGAAATAAATTCACAAAGATCCAATTGGCTTTCACATGTTTTCATGCTTTTTCAAGTTTACTGAAAGGTTACTATTTGTTTTCAAGGCATATTCATTTGGGACAAGAGATGGGATCTAAGACTGTCATTTGGAACGTTCATGTTTTGTTTGATCCAGGTTAAGCAGATAATTTGCGTCTGTTAAGACATTTGCTGGTTATTGGAATAAATATATACTTGTTTATGGAACAAACATTTGTTTGTTTATGGAATACACAGTGCGTATTTATTTGGAATGCAGTGGCAAGATTACATGGTCATTGGAATTTAAGTTATCTTGGTTGGAATTATTGGAATACAATTTCAATTATCTTAATCTGGAATCTTAAAGAATTAGTGAAGACGCGAAGAGAAAATTGCAAGTTATTGACAGTAAAGGATTTTAATGGACATCAGAATACCTCATAAGACTTTTTTTCATTTACTTCAAAAATTGTTACAATACAATTTATTATTTAAATGCTTTAAGTTTTACAACTTATTGTATTTGAAAAATAAATTAGTACAATCATTTGAGTATTTCTATCTAAATTACAAAGAAAAAAATCTAAGCCTAAGGATGACTAAGCTTCTATTGCTTCCATGCCTGCCAAAGAATCTCTTGCTTCCTCTGCCTTGCCACCACCCAATTTGCGCTCACATGAAAGAAAGACAGAAAAATAATTAGCACAGTGAATTGGACGTGAATAAGAATCTTCAAAAGAGAAAAATGTGTTCATCATTAAAGTTTGCAATTTAGAATCAGAATGCTATTTTTATTTCATCACGTTTTTATTTTTCTATTTGCAAATCACAAGAAGATTATTCTTCTTGGTTCACAAAAAGATAAATAAAAATGCAAGCAAAGCTGTCCAAATAAAAATGCAAGCAAAGTTGTCCAAATAAAATACAACTAGGCTGCCCAAACAAGTGAAAATATGCAAGCAGCATGGCCAAACAGATATAAAAGGCAGCAGGCGCACAAATTGCCCAATGGCCATACAGCAGCATGGCCAAACAAGCAGCAAAAAGAACAAGGCGCAAAACAAGACCAAGAGATACAGCAGCATGGCCAAAACAAATATAACAAACATAATAATGCAAACTAGACAGCAGCGCATCATGTGCAAATAGCAGCATCAGCAAAAACAAAATGCAGTCAAAGTACAAGCACAACAGCATCAGCAAGAAGATAATATAAAACTAAGTCAACAATCAAGAGGAGGCTTGTTCAATAAGCCATTTATCATCATTTTCCCAAATAAATTGCAAACTTTTCAGAAAAAAGCATTTGGCTTTGGGTCATTAAGAGAGGAAGAGGAAAGAAGTCACCTAGGGATGCTGCCCTGCTGTCACAATTGCACCAGAAATGCTAGAAAACAAAACTGCAAGGAAAAGAGAATAAGGAGAACATGCCCAAAGTATTCAAAATTTGGTGGTTTTCCCACCATTTTGAATAAGCTATCAAACAAAAAAGCCACATGAATATAACAGTATACAAAGCTCAAGAGAAGGAGAGAACATTAAGTCAAAAACAAGATTTTGTCAAAAAGTTCAAAAACTCTCCAAACTGCATAACTCAGTTCTAAAACTTGCCAAACGGTCAAAATCCAAAAACCATCCACCAAACCTGAAAAACAATACCAAACTGTAAACCAGAAAATCACAAACAAAAAATTCCCTGCGTCTTCCATCAAACACCAACAAAAACATGTAACTCATTTCAAAAATCCTTCAACCTGTAAACCATCAACAAAACCACAAAACATAACAAACAGCCAAAACTCCCAAACCTGCAAAACCAATATCCCAAACAGTTCAAAACCATCTTTAATACAAAGCCACAAAATCTCAAGCTTTCACAAACTGATAAAACCTGTTAACTATCAATCTGTAAAAACAGTTTTCAAACCATAAAACATTCAAATCCCAAAACTGCAGAACAGTTCAAACCATCCCCCCCAACTCTAAAAAACAGTTTTTAAACCTCAACAACCAAAGACCCGCATAACCAAATACCATAACCAAAAAAAACTGCATAATCAAAAACCTCCAGAAAAACATACCAACCTATTAACTCAACTTACAGTAGCAATAAAAACCAAGGCCTCAAAAACCAATTCAAACCAAACTGTAACATTTCAAACCAACATCCAACAAGCAAAAACTCGGTAACATCATCCCAAATTATCCAACAAATCAAGAAAAGAAAACCAACAAAGTTTCAAGCTGATCAAGCAACACAAAAATCGCAAAGTCAGAAACAAACATCATCATCGTTCAAAGCAAAGAGGAAAGGTTACCTAGAACCTTCGTCATCATCTCTTCATTCTCACCAAGCCCGTCACCAGGGAGCACTTCATCTCAATCTCACTATCCTCTCCATTCCACAGAAAAGCCTCAAAGGTATGGATTCTTCGCATCCCTCATAAACTGCTTCCCACATCTCAAATGTATAGCACAATAGGTTAACAGAGAAGACATGAACAAAACAAACATAACAAAGCAAAAGAAACATCAAACAAAATCGTAACAAAGACATAACATAATCATACCCTTTCAAGAAGCAAAAACGTTGGCGCTTAGGATGTGAGAGAGAGAATGCTCCGGTAACGAGGGTGAGAGGAAGATCAGAATAAGCATCAATTTCAAACCCTTAGACATAAGTTCCATTTCAGAACCTAGGTTTTCCAGAAGAAAAAAAGTGTTTCACTCATGAATCATGGACGAATAGGGACGTTTAAGTGATAAAGATGAACGAGAGAAAGAAGTGAGAGGGATCGGAACAGAGCGGCGCCGCTGTGAGAGAGAACAATAAACCCTAATTTTATTTGTTTACCCTAATCCAACAATTAGGAAAATGCATTGGGCCTGCTTAGTTTCAAACCTAAAGCCCATACACACGCTAGCTCACACCCCCCCATTCTGTTCCGTTTTGTTAACATCCAAGGCAACAATAATTTCCCCTTTGGCCCTTTCATCCAAATCCTTTAGAGCCCATTTTCACTTGTTCTTTTTCAATTTAATTTAATTTGTTTTATTTCTTTGTGTTAATAATATGCTAATGATTTCTAAAAATTTCATTTTGTAAAAATTAATTTGAACTTTTTAGTAATTAGTTTTCTTTTATCTTTTTCCCTTTTTATAAAAAAAACTCTTATTTTTATTAATTTGTTACACTTAATAAAAACATCAAAAAAACTTTGATTTAATTAGTTTTCTTTCTTTAAGCTTATAATTAATAAAATACACAAAAAAAATATAATAAAGATTTTTAACTTAAATCATTTTCTTTTTAGATCAAGTTTAATTTTTATTTTTCAAGTAAATACATTGCATTTCATACTTAATTGATTTCTTTATTTCATAAATTATCATAGCTTTGTATTAAATCGCACAACAATTATATTTGGTTGTATTATTTGGACATTGCTATTTTTATGTGATTCATCCCCATTTGTAATAATTGTACCCCTATTCCCGGATACTTTTGTAATAGCTTAGAATTTTAATTCCCGCAATTTATTGCTTTCTATATACTGTGTAGTAATTAAGCATGTATGGAAAGATTCAAAAAAAATCAATCGCTAGATGACTGTAATACCCCAAATTTGTCCTACCCTCCTACTTTTGTCTGGTTTACGCATTGTCGCACTTTTCTCATGTACATATCTCCATTAGGTCATTTAACATTGCATACATTCGCTAACAACATAACTTCGCAAGGGGTCGAGAACCTTCAGGGTTAGGGTTTTATCAACAGGCTAAGGTGTATATGTTCAAATAGAGCCTGATTCTTCTGGTTATTTTTCAAGGTAGTGAAGTTGTGAAATTAGGGTTTTGTGTTCATGGATATTGTGGATCTTTTCTTCATCAAGCTACAAGGTCATCCTCCATCAAGAATTCATCCAGAACAAAGTACGTTAGGGTTTTTACTTATGGTATTTGATGTCTCATCAAGTTTGTAGTTGAGGTTATTTTGGACCGAGATTTTGGCTTAGGCTATCTTTCTCCTCATTGAGTATCCAATGCCAGAGAGTTAGGGATTCAAAGCACTAATTTTGTCGATCATCAAGTAAAGACGTAATGCTGGGATGATGTTACGAATTCACTAAGATTAAGGCATTATTGGTTCTCTCATTTCTTGTTTTCATTATGGTGAAAGTATTCGTTCAAGTGATTATTTGGGGTCATGAGTTCGAATGGTTCGAATTTGTTAAATTGGACCAATATTTTAAGAGGTAAAGCGTATTGAGTTTGGAAAGTCCACCCACGTGGATTCCTTGAAATTTAAGTCACTTCGAAGAATAAAACACACCATGTTCATCCATGATCAATATTTTGGATTTCAAATAAAAGTTTTTCTTTAGTCATCTTTGAGTTTATCTCGTGAGTCATCCATAAAAAAGGTTCGATATCATATGTTTCATTCAAGTCGCAAATAAAGAGAAGCATTGGGAGCTCTTAGTGCTATTTGAAGAGAACTTGATATTTGATAGGAGATTGAAGATTTGGAATTGCCAAATTAATATTGCATTCAAGAACATTCAAGTTTCATTCAAATTTCCACCAAGTATTAAAAGAGGGTTCAAAGCCATTTCTTTAGAATATTCATCATGAAAGTGGAAGCAAGCTTCTTTACAAAGAAAAAGAATTCATATTTTATATTACATTGAATCATACATTACAAATACCCAACACCATTTACAATATCCAAAAATATACTACAAAAAACGAGAAATACAATTAAAGGTGCATATATTGATTCTCATCATCGCTTTTTGTGTGGCCTTGTCGTGTTTGAAATGCAACCTTGTTGCTTCCATCTTCATTACCTTCTTCATGACCAAACCGGCGTATTGTAATTTTCCATGATCTATGCCTTTTGTTTCAATCCAAAGCAATCCTGAACATTTACACAACAAAGAGAAACAGTTATTATCAATTCCAAAACAGTCCTGCTGTAACTGTTAACAGAATAACAAACAAACTACAATAGCCAAAACAAAATTTTCCCTAACCATTCTCTAAAAAAAACCTGCACATAACAAATTCCAACTACCATTTTCTAACAACCCTTAACTGTCAAAACCATTTCCCTAACTGCTAACAAAAATAGAAAGATCCCTCCATAACCAATCATAACAGAAAGCCCAAAAAGAATCTCCAACAAAACCTTTTCTAACAGCTTAACTAACTGCTAACTAACTTCCTATAACCGTAACCAACTGTCAAACAACCAAAAAAATTCCTAACAGATACTACCAACCTCCTAACTATAACAAACTTCCAGCATAACATAATCAGATTCAGAACAGAAGATATATAACAAATGGCAGAAAAATTCATTATATATATACAATTCAACATAGAAAAAACTCAGATTATTACATTTAATTCTCACTTCCTCCATTCACACTTCTTCAATATCTGCAGAAGAACCACCAAAAAACTCCTCTCAATTATTTATGCCCTCTCTCTCTGCAGAATCATACCAATCTTCATCTTCAACAAATCGTAATTCTCAAAACTTCACCTTCCCTAAAACTCTCTATTTTCTGGAAAAAACCTTCATCATCGCTATATCTTTAAGACTCTTGGATCTATCTTCATCGACTCTCTCTCTCTCTCTGAACCGTAGCAAGGTGAAATCACATCTCCAATATGAAACATATGCATTCTCTCTGCAACAATCTGCATCAATACCTTCATTCAACATCATTTTTCTTTGTACCGCCATCATCAATGTTCTGCAACATCAACAGAACAACCATGACATAAGTGTTTCATACAACGTTTGGTTCATACCACGGGAAAATGCAGTGAGAATGCAAAGGACCACAGTATCACAGAAGAAAGAGAAGAAGTTAAGGTACAACAAAATCAAAGTACTAAGATATTCATAAGCCATACTTGAATCGATTTCATCTCTTCTCACTGATGAAGTTGTGTCGCATGAACCTTGGTAAGCCTTTGAAATCCGGCGTCCTTGCAATCTTCATTTTGTTCTTTTAAACAATGGTTGAGATTAGAAAGAGAGAAGAGCGAATGATGCATGGCGTATTTGACCGAAACAGAGAGATGAGGAGATCGAATTGAGACGGAGGAAAGATGAGTCGGAGATGGAGTCCAGCTCAAACGCTGTGACGTGGTAGCCGGAGTTCATGCGGAGTTGAGATGAACCTTGACTAAGATGAAGATTGAGAAGACGGAGACATGAGGTGAAGACGGAGGTCGAGCTTCAAACTGAGACGGCGGTTAAACGAAGGAGAATATTTCATGACGGTGATGTTCGCTGAGCAAGGAAGGAAGAGAAGTTTGGAGTGAAGCGGCGCCGCTAAGTGAAAGAGAAGAAGATAACTAGTCCTAACCCTAATTTCACGCCTCTTTCCAATTTCCTATTTCTTTTGTTCTTTTTAATTATTATTGCTTTCTAGCAAAACAATGAAAAAGATAAAAATATGTTATGGTCTGCTAATGAATGGGCCGAATACTCTCTTTGCTAGGCCCGTTTTACTATCTTTTTGGAACAAATTTGCAAACAAAAAACTGGTCATGGGCTCAACCAGTTGGGCCTAGCGCCCTTACCTTCCAACACTCCTTGAATCAACGTGCACCCCCTGATTTCACCTCTCATTCAATTATTCGGTTAAATTTTTTTTCTCCTATTAATTGTTGATTAATTGGTGGTGGGATGATACAAAACAATAGAATATTTTAGAATTCTTTGGAATTTCTTTTTTAGAATTTCAATTAGAGTTTTTTTTACTATTTTATTTTTCATATTTGATAATCATTTTTATTGCCATTTTCTAGTCAATATTTTTGTGATAGCATCGACATAACTCTTGCAATGTGGAATGCTCGGGGTGAATTCTTCAATCACTCGCCCAAGGAAACTTTGATAGAATTCTCTTACCGCTTGCACAACTTTGAAGAGGCAACGGACCTTCTCCGTTCGGTATCGTCACAACTCTATTTTATTCTTCATTTCCGTACTTTATCACAAATCATATGCATGCTACCATTATGTATAATTCCCTCAAAATTCTAACTTTAGGTCTAACGATACATAATAACATTAGGTTTAGAAGTAAGCTAGTCTCCTTTTGACTTTTATTTCCCTTTCGCATACGCATCTAAAACAAAAACTTTCTCTTTCTTTTCAAAATTCAAAACACTTAAAAAACTATTGATGAGAATCATGCTTTTGCTTAGTACGGGAATGATAAGTGGGTCTCTTCTCGATCTTATTGTTCTTCATCTCAAGCATAGGTGTGGTTTAATTCTCAAAGACTCCTTTCATGACTAAGTAGAAAAATGGCTAATATCTCTCTCTTGAGGTCAATCAGTCATCATCTACAACAAAAATACAAAACAAATTCAAACCATTTTGTGTGCTCGAGCACCATTTCTCTAAGAAAACCTTTTCAGGTAAGGACACGATTAAATTACTTCTGTGCCAACGCATAAGTCTCCAAAGGTCGAGTTGCGGCAGAAGGCGGAATTAACTTCGTCCACAAAAAACATCTACAACAAAATATAAACCAACTCAAATCTTTTGTGCGCTCGAGCACCTTTAATTTAAAAAAACTCTTTTCAGGTGAGGACACGATTAATTTACCTATGTACCAACGCATAAGTCTCCAAAGGTCGAGCTGCGGCAGAAGGTGGAATTAACTTCGTCCACAAAAAACACAAACAAACAAAAACATATGAGCCGAACTACGGTAGCTCTGATTCCTCAAAACGGATACGTAGGCATTGGGGTAGGGCCCAAGAGAGCACAATTTTATTTTCCCTACATTCTTTTCTCCTTATTTTGCATGCATCCCCCAGTAGTATAATAGATAGTAAGCATAGATTAAACACATCCATAAGATAGATAACAAGAGTGGATACCGTAGAGTACTACAAGCGTGTGGGGTGCTAATACCTTCCCCTCGCGTAACAGACTCCCTTACCCGATCTCTCGGTCGCAAGACCGTGACTTCTCCCTTCCTCAGGTTTTCTCGATGTTTACCTTTACCTACATGTGGGATAAAAGACGTTCGATGGCGACTTCATTGTTTGATGTTTTCAGCCGGTTGTTTCAATGACCTAATCCAAGAATAAAATAACTTGAAATCAACACACTTTCTCACACGCGCACCTCTAGGGTAACCTTGCTTGTTGCCTCAGAAATACAATCATGTCCCTCGAATATGAGACACTCTAGCAAATGATCCTTCAATAAACAAATATCGTAGTCTCTTGATGACCCTCAATGTTGCCTTCGATAAAATGATCTCGTCCCTTACAAAATTGCTAGAGCGTCTCACAAGTTGCCTTCAGTGATTGTAAAATTGACCTGCGCCTGTCCCTTCACATCCAAGGATGGGGCTTCTTACCAAATCCATGGTAAGATAGCACCATTAGAAGGAAGAATAAAAGAACAATTTAAGACTTTTCGAGTAAATAGATTCGCTCTTAGTTACTCGCTTGCTCACGACAAAAACTTTCACACCTACACTTCCATGTCCAAACATTTTCAAAAAGATAAAACATTTTGTATACGTTCTTATAGAGACGAGAACCATTGCAAAACCTCTTTTCAAAACTTCTTTTTAAAACACTTTTCAAAACACGATTCACAAACACATCTTTGAACCATTTTTCGAAACAAAAATTTGTATACGTTCTTATAGAGACGATAACCGTTACAAAGAAACTTTCCAAAATACTTTCAAAACTCACACCACAAGCACACAATCAAACAAAAGCAAGTGATCTAAACGAGTAACTAAGAGCCCATGGAAAACCATGGATGAAAAGGGTGATAACACCTTCCCTTTTCATAATCTACCCCCCGAACCCGAGAATAATCTCGAAAGGTCTTTCCTGTGCTTTTTCACCTTTCCTTTTGGATAAAAGAAAAGTTGGTGGCGACTCTTGCTAACCGCACAAGTGCGAACGAAACACAAAAACTTCTAGTCAGTTCTCCACCGCATCATAGGTGTTGAGTGAGGCATTGTTGATTTTAAAATCCAAGCCATATCCTCCACTTTGAGATGATGCAGATTCTCCTTTCTCATGATTGTGGATAGTAAATATGTTTTCCACACGGATACGACAATGATATCTTATCACATAAAATCAATCAACACACTTGTGTTTTAAAACTTTTAAAAGAGGAACTACGTGTACCCTGATCCCCTATTGAACGGAAGGTGGTACGTAGGCACTAAAGGTTCGCAACCGGGGCGAGTGCAAAAATCATTAAAAAAATATATTTCTTTTCTCACATCCACCATCTATTTTTTACACAACATTTTATAGACAAAATATACAGATTTTACAAAGAGGTTCCTGTGGAGTACCGTAGATGTTTAGGATGCTAATACCTTCCCTTTGCATAACCAACCCCCTTACCTTGAATCTTTCCTCCTCTTTTTGGGTTACTCGCTCTTTTCCCATTCCTTTGGAAACAATAAAGCGTGGTGGTGATTTTTATTTTGATATGTATAAGTCTAGTCAATCCAATGGATTAGTCTTAAATATTTCTACCGCTACAGATCCCACTTGAACTATACCATTACTTTTCTACGGACATGTTACTTTTCGGTCGTCAGTAGACCTCCTATTCCATCGAGCCTTCTGGACAATTTTCCAATGTCCTTCGTCTCCATTACCACCCCGATTGATTCCATTAATACCCACTTTTGGAATCTCATTATTTATGTTACTACTGCCCCCAATAACCAAAGTCTCTTTTCCTTTGTGCATGCATCCTTCTTGTTAATGGTGAAGCATTCACCATCGAAATCCATGGAAAAGAAGCAATGTAACAGAAAACTAAGAGTAATAACCGAATTATTAAAGGGATAATTTAGTATTTGTTATTTTTGGGATATTCTTTTTAGGGTCTATGTGGTATTCTTATTTTTACTACTTTTGTGTATAAATAGGTGTACTAGGTTTCATTAATTAATAATATTCCTTTTACCAATCATTAATAGCAACTTTTAGCATTTATCATTTTCTCTCTTCTTCTTTAATTCCATCACCTTGCACCAACAAATTGGTATCTAGAGCTCTTGGTTTATTCTGAAATTCTGGGAAACACGAGTGATAGTGAGTTGTGTGTTTGATTTTTGGTTCCTGATTTCTGTTAAATCTTGAACAAAAATCTGAACAAAATCACACTGATTTTGTGGGTTTGGGAAACATTGAGTGAGATCTGAGATTTGTGCAAGGTTTAAGATGAGTGAAGGCAGCAGTTAGAACACTAAACTTCCATTTTTTTATGGCAGAAGTTGGAACAGATGGATGATACAGATGCGTGTGCTGTTTGGTGCTCAGGATGTTCTGGATCTTGTTACTAATGGTTATGTTCCAGTAGAAGCAGATGCTACTGAAGAACAAAGATCTACAGAAAAAGCTACGAGGAGGAGGGATCAGAAGCTCTGTTCTATATCCATCAATGTGTGGATGAAAGTGTGTTTGAGAAGATTGTTGATTCGATGATGTCGAAAAAGGCATGGGATATACTGGTCAGATGTTACGGTGTTGACGCGTCAGTGAATAAGGTGAAGCTTCAATCTCTACGAAAACAATATTGGAATCTCAACATGAAGAACAATGAAAAGTTTCTGAGTACATCTCTAGAATGATTCTAATCACTGATGGGATGAAAACTTGTGGAGAAACACTTTTTGAACAGGCAATCATAGAGAAGATTCTGAGGACACTTACTCCTCAGTTTGATTACATTGTTGTTTCTATTGAACATTCTAAAAATCAGGAAACTATGAGAATAGAAGAGTTGAAAAGTAGTTTAGAAGCGCAGGAGTTGCATCTGACTGAAAGAACTTCTGAGAGGGAAGTGGAGCAAGCTCTGAAGGCTTCTTTTGTCAAGAAGGACCAAAAGCAGAATAGACGTGGTGATAAATTCCATAAGTCAGAAACCTCAACTTCTGATGAAAAGAAATATCATAAGGGAAAGGAAAGGTGTGACAAGAAG